TGGTCCAGGCGTTTGCTGACCACATCCGAACCAAGCGCCCTCAAACCACATGGGTCAGTTTTATCGATGATGACACCTTTTGGTTATCCCTTCCCACTGTCGCCGAGGAACTGAAGCTTTTCGATGTGAACAAAAAGCATTATATTGGTGCTTTGTCCGAAGCCAGCTGGCAAGTTGATACCTTCGGACACATTGCCTTCGGAGGTGCTGGTGTCTTTGTCTCCAAACCGCTGCTCGATGTCCTCGAGCAATACTACGATGAGTGCCAGTCGTGGGGCGAGCAGCCCGGTGATCAGAAACTTGGCCAGTGCATTCAGAAATACGGTGAAACTCCTCTTACTCTTTGGCCCTCACTCTACCAGATGGACATGAAGGGTGAAGTCGATGGTGTTTACGAGTCTGGGCGGAAGATCGAGTCTCTGCACCACTGGAACAGTTGGTATACCAAGGACGTGGTGAAGATGACCACCGTGGCCGCCGCTGCAGGTCGTAAATCAGTCCTTCGGCGCTGGGTTTTCGACCAGGAGGAATATGTCAACAACTCTACTGGCAAGTCCGTTCGCACGTTCTGGGTCATGACCAACGGCTATTCTCTTGTCAAGTACACTTATGACGAAAACACCCCCGATGATGCGATCAACTTCGATCACACTGAGAAGACTTGGGAGGAAGACCCCCGTGGTTATGAAGGTCGCTTGGGCCCTCTCCGTCTCAAGGATCAAGCAGGTGTCACCAAGGACCGCTGGTTGTTGAGGGAAGCTTATGTCGTTGGTGACAACGTGCACCAATGGTATGTGCGTGAAGAGGATGAGGGCCACAGTGTCATTGAAATTGTATGGCTTGGACCTAAGGGAGGCGGTGGAGCTGGTGTACATGATTACGCTGTGAGAAAGCAGCATTAAAACATCCACATTGATCGAACGAACCTCTCAACTAATACTGAGGCTGGTCCTCGGGCTTTGAAGATTTTCATTTCCATTCTTGCACATGCCTTTTTCCCACTTTGCCTTGTTTCTTTCTTTCCTTTGCTTATATCACCCACCTCCTTTGGGAACCATGTTTGGCCACAGGACGGAAAATTCACAACAGAAACAGGAAAGAAATTTGAAACGATGGTGCCAGAATGGGTTCTTGCCCGAAAGCCGACTTTCCACGTCCTATTCTTCCATTGTTGACTGGTTCGGCGTTGAGTTGTTGACGGAGCCAAGAATGGCGCAGTCAAGATCGGAATCAAGTGGTTTTTCACCGAAAGCATTTTCCGTTCGACGGTCCTTGACTGGTCCTGACTTTTTCATCTGCCTGTGCTGGGGGACTTTCACCCTTGATCTGACCTTTCATCCTGATCGAGTCTTCTCTTACCCGCTCCTACAAGAGACCTTCTTCTTTATATCTGTCTTGTAAAAATAGAATTTCAGGCTGAGCTGGTGTCGCTGCTTCTGGAGATTAGCGTTGAACATTTGTCATTATGCAGGAATATCATGACTTGAGTGTTTAGATTAGATTTGGCTACTACCACTGCGTCTGTCCATAGGAACATGAATCTATCTTCATTGCATTAGCTCTCAATATAAGTTTCTCTCAGTATTCCGACGATCGCTTCATACTTAAGCAGCAAGCCACTGCTGTCTGATACATCACTCTCACTAACAAGGTCATCTTTTAAGTACTCTGTATCAAGAGCCTAAAGCAGGACGCAAGAGGAGCCGACTGGCGGAGTCGCCGCTGAGCTCCAACAGCCAATCCTCGTGCTATCTTAGAGCCCAATCAGAACTACCCAAAGCACTGCAGCAAATGTAATTGAGGTACAATATGATACCGCGTGCACTATTGGATTTGGCTAAGGTGATCGCTATGGCTGGATTATTACATCGACTATTGCTAATAGTAAGACTACCTTGTCGGTTGTGGTGCGTTGATCGTCGAATGTACTGGACTACTGAGGTTCTATTCTTACATACATACAGAGGAGACAGCCTGGTGTGTATGATAAAGGGCGAATGGGGCCAAAGTTTGGCTGACTCGAGGGATGGAATGCAGCCGACTTGGTGGTGCTCTAAGCTTATGGTCGTGACGATGAAAGACACTCCGGTCAGACACCTCCATTAATTTCTAGGCACTCTGCAATAGCCTCCACAATTGAAGATTAAGATAATATAGCCGAGCGAAAGTAGTCAAAGAATTGGACGTTTTCCTGCCGGGTCGAATCCGCATCCTGCGGCGACAAGGCACTCTAAGTGAAGAAGACCTGACAGTCGCAAGTGGTAATATTACGGTACAGGGCGAACTGTGAGTTGGCCTCCAAATCGAACCTTCTAAGGCATCATCCAACCATCAGCACTGCCAAGGCCGTATTCCCCCACCGCTGGGTCTGGACAAAGTATAATCGATTAGCTCGTTACGTTTGTACCAAGTATTATTGTAAGGATCCACTCATGAATGCTTCGCTCTCAGCCATAAATTCATTGGAGTTATTCTTATTATTACTGAGTTTAAAAACTCCAAACACGGGGTACAAAGATGTATCATGCATCCCCCAGCTGGAAACTGTGATTGATTACTCAGGACGTTCCTAGCCAGGCCTGCCCACTGATACGGCCGCCGAGGTACCTAAGGATTCCATTGTAACGGTACTGTATTGACTCATAGATACTGCCAGACCCACTATTTCACGTGACTGACCGCCTGCCTGTCCCAACCGGCACTTTGCCTTCTTCGACTCTCCTCCCGATTTTCTTTCCTTCTCGTCCTGAACCCAAACCCTGCGAAGCAAACGCGTTACTCGATTTGGTCATCCTTCCCCCCCTCAAAAGCATCATTCCTCTTTCGGCATTCGTGTTCACAACCCCCAGGGTTCTACCATTACTCGCTGCTCAACTCGATTAATCCTTTTTCGTGCCCTTTTATCACCTACTTTTGATCCATCATGGCCGACATCACCGCCGTCGGTGAGGAGAACCCTTCTCCTACCCAGGACGACCTGCAGCAGGCCGCCGGCAATGGCGCCGCTGACAACCGCGGTCCCAAGCGTTCGAGAATGAGCGCAGAAGACGATGACGATGACGATGACAAGCCTGGTCGCGAGCGCAGAAAGATTGAGATCAAGTTCATTCAAGATAAGTCGCGTCGCCACATCACCTTCTCCAAGCGGAAGGCGGGTATCATGAAGAAGGTGCGTACTTTCGCGTCTCCCTGCCCGCGGTTATCACCTGTTTTTCGAGTCTTGTGCATTTTCTATCCGCTTGTTTTTTTGTTTAAACTTGATTGTTTTACGAATTGGATCTTTTGTTCAAGACATGTTTCGTATATTCAACTACATTGGACAGTTGCTGACCTTACAATGCGATCGCAAAACAGGCGTATGAGCTCTCCGTCCTCACAGGTACTCAAGTATTGTTGCTCGTCGTGTCCGAAACCGGTCTTGTCTATACTTTCACCACTCCCAAGCTTCAACCACTGGTGACGAAGGCCGAGGGCAAGAATCTCATCCAGGTTAGTTGTCAGAGCACGTTCGGTCTGGTACCAGCATAATTAACCAATTCCACATCAGGCTTGCCTCAACGCTCCGGATCCTGCCACCAACGAAAATGGCGTTGAAGCTCCGGAGGTGCCAGCAGAGACGCCCGAGGATGTTAACCACCCCAATGTCAACCCTCAGCAGTCGAATATTCCACGTCCTGCGGGCATGCACCCAGGCTACATGACGAACGAACAGCAGCAGCAGATGGCCTATTATCAGGGCTTGCAGCAGCAACAACAGGCTGGTGGGCAGTACCCCGGCATGCCTGTGGGCAATCGAATGCCCCCTCAGCACCAACCCACTGCGTAGATGGGGTTCTTATTTGCATACCTAGCATGATCTGAGGGCGGTTCGGTGGTCCGTATTTTGCCTTCATTTGTTGCCTGCAGCATCTGTAACCCCGCTCTGCCCTGCCCTATTTGATACCCGTCGATTCTTGATGCGCAAGAGTTGATTTTTCGAGATCTGTCTTTTGTGGTCTCCCCCGTCACGGCGAGTAACAAAACCACTATATTGACATCCGACCCGAGAGAATTGAAAAAAGAAAGAAAGGAAAAAAAAAAGTTTATCTCGCACTATAATGGACACGAGCACATCACTCTCGTTCCAGAACAATTACCCTCCTTTCCCGTTCATCATCTCCTAATCATCTCCTAGACGACGGTGGAGGTGGCGGTGTTCCTGGTGCTTTTTCCCATTCTTTATCTCTGATTTTTCGTTGGCGAAGGGGACTCATTTATTCATTTTCTTTCATCTGATATAATCTGTTTGGTGTGCTTTGATCAATTGTCTATTGCGTTTCGTTTGATTTCCCCTCTGCGTCCTGCGCTTTTCCTTCGCATCCTCGTCCCAATGTCGCTGGACTACTCACTTCGGGTCATGGTCAAATTTGACCCAAAAGTAGAGCGGGGTTTTGGAGAAAGGCGCGGAACTGACTTTATCTGACTGAGTAAATGATATGATATGGATGGATGGTTTTCATCGGGTAGGAAGTACGACATGTATGGTACGGAGAAAATGGAGCTAAGCCTTTTCTCTTTGTCTGTCGCTATGTTCATTAATATGCTCTAGTTCCAAATTAAATTACCCAGCCCAAGTATAATTGCTAGAGTTCTTAAGTGCATTTAATGACCTTATGCTTTGATCATTAGCACCTGCCCTGTGGACAACAGGTTATCAGGGATCCAGTAGGCCCTCAAACAGCTGTTACTGTGGGTACTAATATACCCACATGGATAGAAGAAGCCAAGCTCAAAGAGTGACAGATTTATTACCAAGTAGGTTTATCACATGATGCCAATGCCGACTAATTCGACTTTATATCTCTTATTGGATCAAGCTAAGTAAGCAAGAGTAAATGCACTACTGAGTATATATTGGGGTATTGTACAAAAGGAAAACAGCCATGGCCAAGAAAGCGCCAAAATGAGATCAAATGGTCAGAATTTCTAGGCAACATACAAGCAATAGCAGCATATGCTCTTCAGCCGTCATGTAAAGGGGAATGGGAAGAGTCAAGTAGAGGATCGTGTGATTGAGATCCACTGCGTGGGCGGTGTCTTGTCCACCGCGAGAGATATCGTAGGCCACTTCTCCACGCTTGGGCTAAGGCGTTTCTCGAGCCTGCAAGGGGGCCGCCGCTGGATGGAGTGGCCGAGAGTTGGAGCGGTTCGCGACCGCTACTTGATGAAATGGGGTAATTCGATCCTTCAGGTCCACGTCCGCGCTCGCTCTCACCCGATGTGCCGTAGCCGATGGAGCGAATTGAGTGGTTGCCTCGGAAGGCGCCAAAGTAGGTGCTTGTTTTTTGGAGAGATTGTCGATAGTCAGGGCCCGGGACTGAAGTTCTTCGCTGGTGTCCTCCTTCGTAGACTGAGCGGGCGTTTCTACGGTTTGTCCAGGTGTTTTGACCGACTGCGCCAATTGTCGAGTGCCGGGGCCCACGGTGAACACTTTCCCTCAGGGTGCTGCTTCGAGGACGGAGTTGCCAGAGGGGACCCCTACCGGTGTATTCGTAGTCCGAGTCATCCAGCTCAGCCCAGATGGAGGACGGGTCCATGTCAGCAGTTGGGGTTTGGTGAGGAGTCGATGAAAACAGAGGTAAACTGGGTGTCCGTCCATGAGGGGACACGTGCGGCGGGTGGAATGCCTGCAGGAGAGGCTGTCGCTCTCCGACGTGCAATTCTTCGTCCTCTTCGCCAACTTCCCGAGGAGAATGCGTGTCCTCCTCAACAACAGCCATACCGGGACCCAATCCGGTTTGAGAAGGGCCAACAACGGTCACAGACGCATGGCTGTCGATAATCTCCAATCGCCACGAGAGACAGAGCACTCCACTCAGCAGAACGACCGTTCCGAGAGCAATCAGGCCAGCGTGGAAACCTGCCAGCTGGGACAGTTGTCGGAAGTAGATCAAACCATCCAGGATAGCGATGATGTTGTAGATGCAGAATACGAAAGGATAAAGAATGCTCGTACTGCACAACTTCAAGCCACGGTGTAAGAAATATAATTGCGTCAGTGCAAGGGAGATCATTGCGAGCAGAATCACCCATGACTGCCATCGATTAAACTGATTCACGCGATCCACAATCGTTCGGACAAGAAGCTCGACAGCTGACTTCGCTAAAAGTAAGGAGTGGGCCGACAAAATGCCACTGATCAGACCATAGCATAGACCGCGGATAAGCCTGACACGGCTCGGGGCCATTGGTATATGCGGAGTACAGGTATGTCGAATACTTGCATGCCTTGAGCGGTGCGGAGAGGCGAGAAGCTTGAGTGACTTTGAGACGAGCAGAATGACCAGCACAATGACCGCTGTCCCCACCATCCAGAGTACGAAATTGCGTCGCTGAAGAAGCTCCAGCAGTTGATCCAGACTATGCGCCGGCTCCCCTATAGCGCCAAATATAGCTATCAAGACTGCACCAATGCAGACCAGGATCGTACCGATAAAGGAGTACCTGGTGAACGCTTCGCCGAGAACTAAAGTGGCGAAGATCGTGTTGAAAACCAGTCCCGACTATCGTTTGGCTTAGCAAGTCTCTACCGCCTGCTGCAGAGGAAAAGAGGAGACTAACCGCTTGGAGGGTTGAGAGCACTGGAAGCGGAAGTGTAGTGATTTGGATCGTACTCCCCACAATGTTCGAAACAACGAACATTAGCATTCCTAGCTAAAAGGGGATCAGATCTTCCGTCATTCGAGTGTCCAGAGAAAGTACATGTTGCGCACCTGCCATCTTCGACGCTTGTATGGTGGTCGTCGTATGTCATAGGGATGTTTCTCGTCCTCGAGTAAATGCGATTTGCGCTGTAGTGTCAACCCGATGGCTTGCAGACTGGTCGAAATCAAGCCGACTATTACCCCGACCTATTCGCATCCCGGTGTCAGCAGAAGGGTCAAGCGACATTTCGACGGGAAGTAGCTTGTTTGAATCATACCGCGACACTACCCTGGGGCGACAGGTCACCAAGATTTCCCATGGTCGAGTATCCTGATGCATTGGTCGTCAAGCGGGGGACGAAGGAGAGCAATAGGGCATGAGAGAAGAGCTTCTAGCAGTTACCCAAATAAAGGCGCCATGGTAGTTAAATAATATCCAATTCTGAGCGGACGCAGGAACCGAGACGAGTATCTACCCCGTAGTGAAGATGTGAGACCAAGCTTAAATTAACATTGAACCAACACTGGGTCTGAGATGAGGTTACCTCATGCGGCGGGCGGGAAGACAAAGACAAGTGACCCGATCGTCAGCAGATCCGCTTCGTGCCAGTGCCAACACCGTCTCCGTTCACCTGCCCTTCTGCAGTGGTATCGATATCGCGTCACATCTCCCCTTCCCGATATTTCATAACATTCCCGAAAGGTAAGCATGATCTCTTGTCCAGTCTGATCCCGATCTGTATGCAGCTTGTTCCTTGTGGGACCTTATCAAACAGCAATGCTGACCTTAGCTCCTTGGTCGCCCATCCAGCAAGCACTCCGCATCAGAAAGCTCAACTCCCCACCATTTGGCATTTCGACGCTTCAACCTCCTTTGTTCTTAATACAAAAACCTTGAATACAAAGCTTTCAAAATGTCGCAAAGCCATGCTCTCTCCGATGATCAGGTATGCACTGGCACCGATCATGAATGCRGGTTCACCGAGCTCATCCAGTCTACGAACAGGTTGCGGGCGAGCTCCGCAAGATGACGGCCTTCATCCGGCAAGAAGCGCTGGAGAAGGCCCGTGAAATCCAACTCAAGGCCGACGAAGAATTCGCAATCGAAAAGTCCAAGCTTGTCCGCCAGGAGACCGCCGCCATCGACTCGCTCTACGAGAAGAAGTTCAAGCAAGCTGCCATGTCCCAACAGATCACCCGCTCCACTCTCGCCAACCGGACCCGTCTCCGTGTCCTTTCCGCTCGCCAGGAGCTTCTCAACGACCTGTTTCAGCAAGCCCGCGACAAGATCTCCGACGTTGCGTCCAAGGATGCCAAGAAATACCAGAACGTGCTCAAGGGGCTGATTCTTGAGGGCCTGTACGCTTTGAATGAGGACAAGGTATCCATTCGGGCGAGGAAGAAGGATTTCGGGGCGGTCAAGAAGGCAATTGAAGAGGCACTGAAGGAGTTCAAGGACAATGTTGGCAAGGAAGCGACGGCGGAGTTGGACGAGGCCGATCCGTTGCCGGAAGGATCGTACGTTCTATCGCCTTCTCCCTTCTAGTGATTATCTATCATTCTAACTGGTCATTTCTAGTGCTGGCGGTGTATTCATTGTTGGCGGTCAGGGCAAGATTGAGATCAACAACACCTTCGAGGAGCGCCTGCGTTTGCTTGAGATTGACGCTCTGCCTGCCGTCAGAGAGACACTATTTGGAAAGAACACAAACCGGAAGTTTTATGATTAGGAAGGTTGAGGTGCTCTTGCCCACAAGTGCTGCACTGTCGTCGTTTTATTTCCCGCTGTTTCTGTCCGTATCCTGTGGTCCATCCTTCATCTTTTTTCTTCGAACTTTGTTATTCGGAATCAGCATAGCTTTGTACACAATCTCTTTTTTCTGTTTCCCTTATTTTATCCCAGCAGGGATGGGCGATGATATATACTGCTCTTTATACAATAGATACAAGTGCAATGGCAAAGCCAGGCTGCATAAGGATCATTCACGTCGTTATTTCTAGGTTCTTGAGAGCCCTATTCTTTCCCACAGCTCAGTAGGGAGGCCGGGTGCAATTTGCACGGTAGCGCCACTCTGCTTTCCATCGGCCTTTATGCTGCCACTCTTCGGGCCGATATCAGCGGCTGTTGCAACGGTCTGAAATCCATCAGCTTTTGTGATCTCGGAAAAGGCCTTTCGAATCCGATAAGGCTTGCGATGAGAGCTCATCACTGGTGAGAACAGACAGAACGAAGGGGCCGTTGGTTGGTTGGCTCGAGTCTGAATTGAGGTATTGGTCGTCTCGAGAAAGGTTGAAGGATCAAGAAGTATGTTCATGACTTCGAATGGGCATCTGCGTGTCTTTCTTGTCTTCCCCACTCCTTGGTTCTGCCCATTTCCTCATGTTATATTTAGCGCGTCCATTTTCAGCCCCGAAATGGCCAAACAACGTTTTCTTCGGAGGCGGTTTCGACCTCACAGAATAGACAATGCGGTAGTGCAAAGTTTCGAGGGCCTCCTTGGCCAAAGTCCGCTTGAGATGAGACGCGCCTGAGTCTTGAATCGACACGAAGATCTTCTTGACCCGATCAGCAAGCCTGTCAACATCCGCATTAAACTCTTTCTCGGCCTCTCTCGTTGGAAATGCCAGTCCAGACCATCCCGAGTCAATGGCAATGTTGAGGAGTGCTGTCACGGCACCGAGTTCTCCATAGTCATACTCAGGATTGCCTTTTCCTTTATATAGGTTAATGTTGAATCGCCGATCCTTCAAAAGGTCGATAATTATCTTCAGATCACTCATTACGTCAGGAGCCTCAGTCAGTCGAGCTGGGTCGCTCGTTAAGAAGGCCAGTGCGAGACGGCACCTCAGCGCCGCGATCCGACTTGAGGTAGGTAAAATATGTTTCAGAAGGCGACTCTGCAATACAAAGTCTCTGAAGGTGTTGTAGGCAGATCTGCAGACACGGTGCAACTTGAAATTCAGTTAGTGGGTGCTGTTCCGCCACAAAGCGCCTGGATCTCACCAAGCTATCAGCCGTGTCCTCGGGGACGCTCTCCATAACTGCCGTAATAGTCTTCTCCAAGTCTGAGCAAACGATAGCGTTGCTTGTAAGGGAAATGTCCAGCGCGAGACGAAAGAGAATATTCAGTAGATGTTCCCTGGTATCGTCGGCAAATCTATTGCAGTGTAAGCATGACCGTTGCAGCAAGGTAAAATCAACGTACAGTTCTGCGGCGTCGCGAAGTAATTCTAAGACGGACAGCAAGCACGCCAGATGCTGAGGTGTTTCTCGCGAATGACTGTCTGCGAGTTGTTAGACTTTAAGCGATAGGAGACATCGACCGAGAATCTCACTCTGAGGTGCTGGTTCAGGGACAACCGGCTCAGAAACATCCAGCGCTTTGGGGCTGGCGCCCAGCCGCTGAAAGAGCCTATTGATATCGTCCGGTCGAAACAGGGATTTTATGCGTTCAGCAGTAGCATGCTGGCAAGGCCATCTAGTAAGTCATACATAATCGACAAAATAGACGGATGGCTCTACACACCTTGAAAAGTCTACAATACGCATGTCTCAAGCTCTCCCGAGGTTCGCAAGGCACTTGAACTTGGTGAGCAATACGGACGAATCCACCACAAATAAATACTGACCAGAATGAAAGATCCAAGAAGTGAGCTCATCAGAAATATATGCTCTGGATAGAGCGAATTCAAGAGCTCCAGAGTGGAAGGCTCGCTCTCTCGATTCCGATTCTATGTTCTAGTCAGGACCACTAGAAACTGAGCCAGAAGCCGAAGCCAGATGAATTACAAACCTCGCAGTACCGCCAAATATGTCCCCGGAGCTATAGACTCTCGTGGGAATTCCAATGCAGGCAGAGCTTTTGCCTCATAGTTGAAAAATGACCAGAATTTCTCTATTTCGAGCGCCTCTGTTCTTCTGACGGCATCAAGTAGACGCTGTAATCCTAGCTCATCCTCCTGATCACCGAGTGCTGATGTCAACATTCCTTCATTCAGATGCCTGCTAGGAGGAGTGTCGAGTTTTGAAGGACTTTCATCCTCGCGAACAGCTTTCAATCTTGCAATGGTTGCCTCGGTTTCGTTATCACCGACTGCTTGGGTCACAAGATCATCGAGTGAGAATTTGTATTGTGGGACTGAGACTTTCGAGGAGTTGGGATTCGAAGACTTCTTCGTATCTTTGGGCCTTTGCGAACGCGACGCCATCCCTGAGTCGCCAATATTGCTCTCGGCTTCTCTCGTTTCGCTTCCTGCCGTTGGTTTGGGTTTCATGAACATCAACAGAGGATCTTCTAGTTGCTCAAAAGATGCTACCGAGTCTGTATCCTCTCCATCAGAGCTAATGACGACTTCCTTCCCGTTCTTGAATATCCGCTGGGATGAATTGAAACTTATTCCTGAAGATGGGTCGCCGACAATAGTCCCGTTACTGCTTTGGAAGCTCTGCTGAGGCGTCGGCTTTGGAGACGTTTCCTGTACCGATGATAGTAAAGAGTCTCTCAGCTGCGAGGCTGGTCCATCTGGGGCCTGTGGAGAGTCACCGTTTGCCAGGAACGACGACGAGGGCTCGGTGAGGGGTGAAGACTGTGGTGCCACAGTAAGAGCTTCGCTTGGCTTGCTATCGGAGTGAATGTCTTGCTTTGTCAGTGAAAAAGCTGGCCGCTTGAAGAAATCTGCAATATTGCGCGGCTGGGACATGTTTTTCATCCACAAACTTCACTAGATTGACCATCACCTCACGGCCTGCATGCGCAACTGAACATGTCGGCTTATCTGCTCCGCATCGACGCCTGACACGTATTGAACGCGCGCTCCTTTCACGAAGTCACATGACGCTGAGTCATCGATATATCTAACAATCAAACAACAATTTGCGAAATTTTTACGAAATTATGCCAAATGGTTTGGGTTATTGGGGACTCGTTGCCTCATACGAGGCTATGGTCGAGAATGCTATTTTGAGACAGCTAGCGACGCATCCTCGTCCTGGATCGAGTATGTGGTGCATTGCATTGTAAGACAAGCCGTTATCACATAGGGGTGAACACAGTCTATATGAGTGGTTGTGATACTAAAACGGGAAAGGGTGTGAGAGGTTGTTGGTGGATGAGTCCACAGGAATAGAAGTTCTGAGTACATGATCAAGTCGAGCCTTGTGTTACAGTGACTAGTATTAAACGTATCCTCGCCTTGCTGCTCAGCCATGCCGCGTTTCTCAGTTGGCGGTGCACACTCCGATATCGAGTTTAGGCCTCAACGAATAAGCCGGGACAATGATGACTGCATATATATCATTATGAGAGGAATGATGAGTGCC